TCTGCATCAGTCGCACTAACAGTGACCACTACAGTGTCTACAGGAGAGTTTTCAGGCAGACTGGCTTTATAAACGGCCTGGCTGAACACTGGGGCGTTATCATTAGCATCCAGCACAGTGACGTGTATGACGACGGTACCTGATCTCTGAGGAGAGCCTCCATCTAAGGCTGTTAGGTCTAAATTAATTTCTCCTTGTTTTTCACGATCGAGCTCTTTGTCAAGAACGAGCTCTATTGTGTTTCCATCAACAGCCAAAACAAAATTATCATTCTTCTTCAGACTGTACTGTTGAACTGAGTTCCGCCCTACATCCGCATCGTGAGCTTCTTCTATCACAAAACGAGCTCCTCTGTCTGCTGACTCCCGAATTTCAATATTGATAATATCTTCGTTAAACAGTGGTGAATGATCATTAATGTCTTGAATATGAAGATTGATCCGTTGTAGCTCCAGTGGATTCTCCAACACAAGCTCATATTTTAGAACGCACGAAGCCTTGTCGCCACAAAGCCCCTCTCTGTCAATCCTGTCAGCAACAATCAGATCCCCGCTGTTCAGGTTTATGTCACAGTAACGTTTATCAATCCCATCGGTGTCAATGCGGGCTTTTCGGTGAGAAAGTGCGCCCGGTTCTAGCCCCAAATCTTTGGCTATATTTCCAATAACCGATCCTCGTTTCATCTCCTCTGGAAAAGAAAAGCTGACGTCTCCATTGGTCCCTCTCAAAAACAGAACGGCAATAATGAAAAACTGCTGATGAAACAAAGACATTTTAAAATCCATTTTTCGTATTTTCGTAAAGACAAGGAGGAAAAGGCAAGGAGTGGCGTCGTAGTTTCGCCACAATAAGACACTGAGTTCTTTCGAGTCTGCGTCTGAATACAAGCACTACCCTTTTACAAAGACTGTGAATTCACAATTCCTAATGTTGGTAAACAGCGTCATCTAGAGTAAGCTTTACGAATTGTTAATGGTGATCTTTGCTGGCAAAAATAAAGACGGTGAACGCAAGAAAATAGCAAAAGCAGACCTTTGTTGGACGTGTCGGAAATTCTAGGGACAGACAGACTATTTAAAGTATTCCATACTAAAATGCCTTGATATATAAAGAAGCGAGGCTCGCACTGAAGATGTCAACGAAAAAAACTTTCCTCGACATAATTCTAAGTACACGTTCAGACACGATTCAGTGGCCACTTGGCATGAAGAAATTAATTTTGAGCAATGTCCGTTGTATATCTACTGAGGTCAAACAGGTAATATTACTATGTGTCCAAAAGAATCAAATATGTCAGAGTTAAGCCAAAAATAAATAAATAAATACATGAAAAACGTATTTACTTGAAATCACTTCCCAAATCGCATTTATCTCAAAGTCACTGAGAACGACAGATCAGAGACACAGTCTCAAATACCAGCTGTGGTTGGAGTTTGGCTGCTGCATAGGTTGCAGCACCATAAGCTTAGTTCCATGAGACACACCAGTATCACAAATACCATACACTGCAAACACAAAAAAGAACATTCATTAACCACATATCACCAAAATGATATTATACATTTACAGAACACTCAAACACGCACACACCCAGTCACAGATTAAAAACAGGAGTAAAGTTCTTATGAAGAAAAAGATCCATTGACCAGAGCATAATGGGAGAAGAAAATATCACTCACTACAAGAAATGAAAAAAAATAAAATAAGTACAGAGAAAACGTTACAAATCTGCCATTATTCTTTAAAAAAGTGAATGGTTAAGAATTAAAACCCAAAACTTCTGACAGTGGGAAAAAAATCGAAGACATTTTTATAGAACGATTCTGAAAATAATAAAAGAAAATTTCAGAAAGGGGTATAGAGTATCTGGGCTGATATTTTATTTTCTCAGAAAAAAAATATAAAAGCCAAATAAGAGAATAGTTCCAATTCTTCATATCGTCTACTATGACTACATAGATTAAGATCTTTAGAATTATGAAATATCAATGAATAATATTTATATTTATAGATACTGATGTGCAACATCATAAAACTACAAAAACAGCAACATCGACAACTAGTGATCTCAAATTAATTAGATTATTTTCAGAAATATACTGAAAATCCTACGAAACACATTTATAATTCAGATTGAATTGTTGTGGTTTTTTTCTTTACAATACATAAAAGAGTGTAAGAGAGGAAAGAAAATTCAAATTGAAATTCTAAAATGTATGATTTTACTGCGAGTAGAATGTATCGCACCACATGAGGATAAAATAATAATAATAATTCTACAGAGAATGGCCACAAAATATTTAGTTACTTTTAGGATATCTGTAGCATTAGATTAAATGGTGGCTGGGTTGCGTCAAAGCAATCCAAAGGGCGCATAGTGAGGTTCAGCACCAAGGACAGAAACTCAAAATTAGTTAATGTGTAGAAGTGAATAAAAATAATAATAATTGGAAAGAAATTACTTGTTTACTCACATCTTTGTGTGAAGTAAACTACAAAAACGTTCCACAAAGTAAACAACTGGCAAGTCCTCAAATGTTTCGGGATAAATGGTATTACACAAAAAGACGATTTGAATTGTTTTATCTAGCTAATATGTTGATTGTCATCTGCTCCTACCTCAGGGGAAGTATCGGAGTCTCCAAAAAACTCTGCAAAGTCACTCGGACTTTTCTTCAGAGTCTGGTCAGCAGGCAGTGTGTTGTCGTTGTATGATGTCACAAACTTAAAGTCACTGGTTCTAGAACCTGTTGTCAGGTAGGCGTCATAATTGTAGGTGCTGCGTAAAGTTCCTGTGCCGTCAACATCTGAGTAATTAGGAGGAAGATAAGCGCTGGGGATGGCGACTGCTCCATCAAACAACAGTCTGGGTTTGTTTCTGCGACAGAACCTCACACCCAGGACGATGATGATGAAGGTCAAGAAGAAGGTGGACACAGACACCAGTGCAATAATCAGGTAAGATGTCAACTTTGAATTGTCATTATGAGAAATGTCCTTGAGTTCTGTCACTTCAGCCAAGTTATCAGAAATAATCAAATACATGGAGCAGGTGGCAGAGAGAGGGGGCTGTCCGTTATCTTTCACTGCAACAACAAGGTTCTGTTTCATGCTGTCAGATTCAGAAATGTCCCTCTGTGTCCTGATCTCTCCACTGTGGACACCAATAGTGAAAAGTCCTGGATCAGTAGATGAAACTATTTGATAGGACAGCCAGGCGTTCTGTCCAGAGTCTGCGTCCACTGCTATCACTTTGGACACCAGAGAACCTCCGTGTGCAGCTTTAGGAACTAACTCTGTCATGAAGGAGTTTCTATCTGAGGAGGGATACAATATCTGAGGAGAGTTGTCATTCACATCTGATATAAATACACTGACAGTCACGTTGCTGCTCAGTGGAGGAGAACCGTTGTCTCTGGCCATGACGTTGACTTTAAAGTTCTTAAACTGTTCATAGTCAAATGACCTCACAGCGTGGATCACACCTGTGTCTCCGTTAACTGACAGGTAGGAGGAGACTGAGGCACCGTTCACTTCACCAGGTAACAGAGAATAAATCACTGTACCGTTCTGTCTCCAGTCAGGGTCTCGAGCAGTAACTGAACATAAAGTGGAGCCAGGTTTGTTATTTTCAGTCACATATGCGCTGTAGGACTGTTCCTCAAACACAGGTGGGTTGTCGTTGATGTCAGCTACAGATAAGTGAACAGTTTTAGAGGAGGACAGAGGAGGAGAGCCCTCGTCAGTAGCACTGATTGTAATGTTGTAATCAGACACTAGTTCACGGTCCAGTTGACCTGTGGTCACCAGAGAATAATAGTTTTTAATAGAAGGAACTAATTTAAAAGGAACATTTTGCTGAATGGAACAGCGGACCTTTTGGTTATTATCAGAATCCGCATCCTGCACATTAATGATGCCCACCTCAGCTCCAGGTGAGGCGTTCTCAGGTACCGCCCTGACAAGTGACTTTACGTAGATCACAGGGATGTTGTCATTGACATCCGTCACATTTATTGTCACTCTTGTGTACGATGATAAACCTAAACCATCCTTTGCTTTAACACGTAAGTCATAAGAGTTAACAGCCTCAAAGTCAAGGTCACCATTAACTATAATCTTCCCGTTTTTTCTGTCAATACTAAATATTTTCTTTACTTCTTCAGTCACGTGTCCAAAGTCATAGGTCACGTCTCCATTCACTCCCTCATCTGCATCAGTCGCACTAACAGTGACCACTACAGTGTCTACAGGAGAGTTTTCAGGCAGACTGGCTTTATAAACGGCCTGGCTGAACACTGGGGCGTTATCATTAGCATCCAGCACAGTGACGTGTATGACGACGGTACCTGATCTCTGAGGAGAGCCTCCATCTAAAGCTAGGAGGACTAAATTCATTTCTCCTTGTTTTTCACGATCGAGCTCTTTGTCAAGAACGAGCTCTATTGTGTTTCCATCAACAGCCAAAACAAAATTATCATTCTTCTTCAGACTGTACTGTTGAACTGAGTTCCGCCCTACATCCGCATCGTGAGCTTCTTCTATCACAAAACGAGCTCCCCTCACTGCTGACTCCCGAATTTCTATATTCACAATTTCGTCATTAAACTGTGGTGAATTATCATTAACATCTTGGATGTGAAGACTGAATGGTTGCAGCTCCAGAGGATTCTTTTGTCTACAACGTGATCAAATTCATAAGTAATTTCACCATTTAAACCTTCATCTGCATCCGCGGCGCTCACGGTGGTAACTAACGTGTCTAAAGCAGAGTTCTCTGGTATCCTGGCTTTGTATACAGTTTGATCAAACACTGGGACATTATCATTAGCATCCAGCACAGTGACGTGTATGACGACAGTGCCTGATCTCTGTGGGGAGCCGCCGTCAAAAGCACTTAGTAACAGCGTAATCTCATTTTTGTCTTCCCTATCCAGTTCTTTGTCCAAAACTAACTCACAATATTTCCGCCCCCCTCCTTTAGTGTTTACATTTAGTTTGAAATGGTCGTTGTGCTGCAGTGTGTAACCCTGCACAGCATTTTCACCAATGTCTGCATCGTGTGCTTCCCCCACAAGAAAACGCGCACCCTTCACCGCAGACTCCCGGATTTCAAATTTCAGCGAATCCTCTTTAAACTGCGGATAATTATCATTAATATCCTGAATGCGGATATCAATACGGTGGAGCTCCAACGGATTTTCTAGTACGAGTTCCTGTTTCAGGACACACAACGGTTTTTTGCCACAAAGCCCTTCTCTGTCGATCCTTTCTTGTACAACCAGGTCTCCATTATTGAGATTCACACCGCAACATTTTACACCGCTGTCATCCGTGTCGATTCGAGCTTTGCGTGCTTTCAATGCATCCAAACCAATCACCAGGTCCTTGGCGATGTTTCCGATTACATGTCCAGGTTTGGTTTCCTCTGGAACAGAATAGGTAATTTCTCCACAAACGGAATGACAGGCGAGTAACAACAAAGCAAGGCCACAGACGTATAAAAACAATCTGCTGTATTCCATTCTTGCCGAGAGAGAGAGAGCGAGAAAAAAAAACTGTTACGTGTCACAATTAAAGAAACGATGAAATCCTTAAGCAGTCAGAATCCTTAAATACAGCGATCATATCACTGTGTACTATGTGAACTGCAGTACAAAAGCCAAGTGAGACTTCGGATATGTTAAAGGGTGGAGAGTGACCTGCCTTGAATTTTTGGGTGTACACTGACACCAAGAGTATTTTTTAAGGTATGACAGTATCTCAGCTCTTAAGATTAATAATAATAAAAAGAAATACTATACAAATAGTATTAATGTTGACTAAAATTTAACAACAACAACAACAACAATAATAGTTATTATTATTATTATTATTATTATTATTATTACTATATTTCAGCAGGTCAAATTAATGTGGAACGATTATTACTATATTTCAGCAGGTCAAATTAATGTGTAACGTCAAACAACGTAAACGCTTACTACACGTATAATTATGTACGACCCTGTGATAACGCTTACAATAACTGCTTTCTATTAAACAATTTAACAACCATTCCATTGTAATGGCCGTCACTCACAATTATCAACATGAGGCGCACAACAAACGGCAAACCTGATATTTCTATGACTGCTGCAATTAGTCCATGTGCAAAAAACAATTATAGAGAAAATTAACATTTTAAAAAATGTATCAATCTATTGTTTAATCATAACAGATACAAGGGAAGGCACTTTAGACAAGGCATAATTTGGTTACGGTTAAATATTGTCGAGCTATTTTACCGTGTATGTTTGGCGCATTTTTGTGAATGTGTTAGATCGGAGGAGAGAAGCTCAGCACCAGGGACAGCGTTAGAACAAAGGAATATAGTACACGCTTGATTAAAACGTTTAGCACCATGGACAGAGTCTAGAGTCCACCGGTTTGTGATAAAGGGAAGTAAAAGACCACCACTGTTTTGTCTCACGTCACAATTATTATTCTCTACACTACTGACAAAAATAATAAAATAATAAAAACACCACGATGATACAGGTCACAGACTGTCAGTGCATCTGCCGTTCTGATTTTCTGCCTTTTTAATTAAACCAATTCATGCCTCCTCACAGCAAATGGTAAGACAATTAACATCACAGCCTAGAGACAACAGGCACGAGTATCAACATTACGAATACTACGAGATCTCCAGTGAGTTCAACTTTTGTCTTAATAAAAAGGGAACACTAATTGATAATATACATTACCCAGATATCTACCTAGTTTCATTACACAAAACATGCCAGGAAAAGAACACACAGATTAAAAGCACAAAACAACAGATGTCAGATTGAACACACTTTCAGTTTGGGAGTGAAAACAGTCCAGGGATTCCCCAGTTCACTTAAATAACTATTAACAATACCACTAATAACGCTTTGAAGCCTCCAGCATTGCACTTTACGGTGTTGATAAAGATATGATAAAGGTGTGGACATAGGTGACTTATATAAATACTTACCTATATATAAATATAAAATTGAGGATACATTCATATACATCAAATAGAATTTCCTACAAAGAAGACGTCTCTTCCTACCTCAGGGGAATCATCACAGTTCCCAAAGACCTCAGCAAAGTCAGAGGGACTTTTCCTCAGAGTCTGGTCAGCAGGCAGTGTGTTGTCATTGTATGACGTCACAAACTTAAAGTCACTGGTTCTAGAACCTGTTGTCAGGTAGGCGTCATAATTGTAGGTGCTGCGTAAAGTTCCTGTGCCGTCAACATCTGAGTAATTAGGAGGAAGATAAGCGCTGGGGATGGCGACTGCTCCATCAAACAACAGTCTGGGTTTGTTTCTGCGACAGAACCTCACACCCAGGACGATGATGATGAAGGTCAAGAAGAAGGTGGACACAGACACCAGTGCAATGATCAGGTAAAAAGTCAGTTTCGAATTAGTTCCGTCATTAGAAATGTCTTTAAGTTCCGTCACTTCAGCCAAGTTATCAGAAATAATCAAATACATGGAGCAGGTGGCAGAGAGAGGGGGCTGTCCGTTATCTTTCACTGCAACAACAAGGTTCTGTTTCATGCTGTCAGATTCAGAAATGTCCCTCTGTGTCCTGATCTCTCCACTGTGGACACCAATAGTGAAAAGTCCTGGATCAGTAGATGAAACTATTTGATAGGACAGCCAGGCGTTCTGTCCAGAGTCTGCGTCCACTGCTATCACTTTGGACACCAGAGAACCTCCGTGTGCAGCTTTAGGAACTAACTCTGTCATGAAGGAGTTTCTATCTGAGGAGGGATACAATATCTGAGGAGAGTTGTCATTCACATCTGATATAAATACACTGACAGTCACGTTGCTGCTCAGTGGAGGAGAACCGTTGTCTCTGGCCATGACGTTGACTTTAAAGTTCTTAAACTGTTCATAGTCAAATGACCTCACAGCGTGGATCACACCTGTGTCTCCGTTAACTGACAGGTAAGAGGAAACTGAGGCACCGTTCACTTCACCAGGTAACAGAGAATAAATCACTGTACCGTTCTGTCTCCAGTCAGGGTCTCGAGCAGTAACTGAACATAAAGTGGAGCCAGGTTTGTTATTTTCAGTCACATATGCGCTGTAGGACTGTTCCTCAAACACAGGTGGGTTGTCGTTGATGTCAGCTACAGATAAGTGAACAGTTTTAGAGGAGGACAGAGGAGGAGAGCCCTCGTCAGTAGCACTGATTGTAATGTTGTAATCAGACACTAGTTCACGGTCCAGTTGCTCAGTTGTTATTAAAGAATAATAATTTTTAATAGAAGGAACTAACTTAAATGGGAGCTCATGCTGAATATAGCAGCGGACCTGTCTGTTCCTCTCAGAGTCTCTGTCCTGAACATTAATAATACCCACCTCTGTACCGGGTGAAACGTTCTCAGGTATGTGATTAGACAATGACTTTACGTATATCACTGGGGCGTTGTCATTCACGTCAGTGACGTCAATTATCACCTTAGCCTCTGTAGACAGCCCATAACCATCCTTAGCCTCTACAATCAACTCGTACTTCGATCCCTCTTCATAATCAATGTCACCCATCACTGAGATTTCTCCTGTTTTCTCATCTAATGAAAACAGCTTCCTGGATTTATCAGACAAGCGGCTAAACTCGTATGTCACCTCCCCGTTGATACCTTCGTCTACATCTGATGCACTAACACTGATAACTGTGGTTTTCAAGGGCGAGTTTTCCGCCACTGCCGCTGTATAAACGGCCTCACTAAAAACAGGGGCATTATCATTAGCATCAAGAACGACTACGTGTATGACTAGTGTCCCGGATCTTTGAGGGGAGCCACCATCAACAGCCGTGAGCAATAATTTCATCTCCTGCTCATCCTCCCGGTCCAACTCCTTATTTAAAACTAACTCGCCATATTTAGTCCCAGCGTTTGTCGTCTGTATACTGAACAGAAAATGCTGATTTTGTTGTAACAAATAACTCTTCACAGAATTCGGTCCTATGTCTGCATCGTGAGCTGCATTGATACGATACTTGGCTCCCGTACCAGTTGACTCCCGGATTTCTAGTTTCACACTATCCTTTGGGCTATCGGCTGATTCTCTGATTTCTAGTTTCACACTATCCTTTGGGAAAATTGGCGCATTATCGTTTACGTCCTGTACCTGCAGGGAGAGCCGATGTAGCTCCAATGGATTCTCTAAAATCAATTCGAATTTAAGAACACACGTCGGCTTTTCTCCACAGTGTTCCTCTCTGTCCAGTCGTTCAGCCACCAACAAATCCCCGTTTTGAAAATTAATCTCACAGTATTTTTTATCGGTGCCTTCCATGTCAACCCGTGCTTTGCGAGCAGACAGTCGGCCCACATCCAGCCCGAGATCCTTGGCGACATTTCCAATAACAGAACCACGATTCAGCTCCTCCTGCACTGAATAGCTCAGATCCCCATGAGCGAGGTGTAGGACAACGGAGACAAAGAGAAAACCGCAGCTTTGAAGAACACGCAGCCGAACCATGATCCCACGACACAACGATGAAAACCAAATATTGGAAAAAGAAAAACTAAATTCCTTTGAAACGGTACAAGAAAAGTGTTCGAATAAGACGACGTTGTCGTCTTTGTACAGGCAGTAAAATCAGGACAGCCCTTTTCCAATAATGGGTGGTGTACAGGGAAGACGGAGCATTCACCCTTATTGCTGGTCTGTAGTGACCCCGTGAGTACAAATGTGATATAGCAGTTATAAATAAGCACAAAAAAAAAAACAACCCGCAAAACTCTTTGTCTGACTGACATAAAAGTTGAATACAATTACCGTCATTGTAAAAAGGAGAGATTTTATGTAGGTAGTGTTTATTTTTCTTTAAAACTGCATCATCAAAGTAAGAACATATAGCATTTTCACACTAACTGTATTTGACATGAGGCGAGTACACAAAAATATTTAAATATTTTTCTACACATACAGTATATCCCAATTATTTCAATAAAAAGCACGAATTTCAAAAAAATATATATATTTCGGTTATTTTTTTAAGTTAACATGTCAAATTAATTTCAGTAAAGTTATAATAAAACTTGAGAAATTCGAAGTGGACATATTCTTACGATGAGGTTCCATCCAAGGACATGCGTAAAAAAAGTTACAAAATTCTGATCCATTAAAAAAGGTAAATAAACATATCAAGGTAAACATGCGTAAAAAAATTCTGATCCATTAAAAAAAGGTAAATAAACATATCAAGGTAAAATGTATGTTTCACAATAATAAAAAGGACAGAAATGTATTCAGTGACTGCAATTTTGAAAATCTGATGTCTTATAAATACTACGACATTAGTAAAGTGTAGTAAAATGCAATAGAAGAGAGTCTGACAGCATCGAAACCTAAGATGCATGTTTCAGCACCATGGTCAGAGACAGACTGTCTGGCCTGATATAGCAAACGTTTTCAATAGTCAGAGGACATTAAAACAACATCGCAGAAAAAAGACTGCCATGAACTCAACAAGTAGAGGACAAAAGAAACAAGTGTTTATGTTTTATATAATAGTCCTACCTCGGGTGTAAGGTCACAGTCTCCAAAGACCTCTGCAAAATCAGAGGGACTTTTCCTCAGAGTCTGGTCAGCAGGCAGAGTGTTGTCATTGTAAGACGTCACAAACTTAAAGTCACTGGTTCTAGAACCTGTTGTCAGGTAGGCGTCATAATTGTAGGTGCTGCGTAAAGTTCCTGTGCCGTCAACATCTGAGTAATTAGGAGGAAGATAAGCGCTGGGGATGGCGACTGCTCCATCAAACAACAGTCTGGGTTTGTTTCTGCGACAGAACCTCACACCCAGGACGATGATGATGAAGGTCAAGAAGAAGGTGGACACAGACACCAGTGCAATGATCAGGTAAAATGTTAACTTTGAATCTCCATCTTCATGACCAATCTCCTTCAGTTCTGTCACTTCAGCCAAGTTATCAGAAATAATCAAATACATGGAGCAGGTGGCAGAGAGAGGGGGCTGTCCGTTATCTTTCACTGCAACAACAAGGTTCTGTTTCATGCTGTCAGATTCAGAAATGTCCCTCTGTGTCCTGATCTCTCCACTGTGGACACCAATAGTGAAAAGTCCTGGATCAGTAGATGAAACTATTTGATAGGACAGCCAGGCGTTCTGTCCAGAGTCTGCGTCCACTGCTATCACTTTGGACACCAGAGAACCTCCGTGTGCAGCTTTAGGAACTAACTCTGTCATGAAGGAGTTTCTATCTGAGGAGGGATACAATATCTGAGGAGAGTTGTCATTCACATCTGATATAAATACACTGACAGTCACGTTGCTGCTCAGTGGAGGAGAACCGTTGTCTCTGGCCATGACGTTGACTTTAAAGTTCTTAAACTGTTCATAGTCAAATGACCTCACAGCGTGGATCACACCTGTGTCTCCGTTAACTGACAGGTAGGAGGAGACTGAGGCACCGTTCACTTCACCAGGTAACAGAGAATAAATCACTGTACCGTTCTGTCTCCAGTCAGGGTCTCGAGCAGTAACTGAACATAAAGTGGAGCCAGGTTTGTTATTTTCAGTCACATATGCGCTGTAGGACTGTTCCTCAAACACAGGTGGGTTGTCGTTGATGTCAGCTACAGATAAGTGAACAGTTTTAGAGGAGGACAGAGGAGGAGAGCCCTCGTCAGTAGCACTGATTGTAATGTTGTAATCAGACACTAGTTCACGGTCCAGTTGTCCTGTGGTCACCAGAGAATAATAGTTTTCAATAGAAGGAACTAATATAAAGGGTAGGTTTTGGTGAATAGAACAGCGGACCTGTCCGTTTTTTCCAGCATCTCTGTCCTGCACGTTAATGATGCCCACCTCGGTACCAGGTGATGTGTTCTCGGGTATGGCTACAGTCAGAGAACTCAAACTGATGATTGGTGGGTTGTCGTTCACATCAGTTATATCTATAATTACTGTACAGTAGGCAGTGAGACCAGGACCGTCTTTAGCTCTAATTCTTAGCTCAATGGAAGTCTCTGTCTCATAATCAATCGGACCTTTAACTCTTATCTCGCCTGTCTTAGGGTCCAGTGAGAATAAAGAGACGTAATCATTAGATGCATGATCAAAATTATAGGTTATATCACTATTAGGCCCCGCGTCTGCGTCAGTGGCGCTCACTGTAACAACAACTGATTCTAAAAGTGCATTTTCGGGCAATTTGGCTTTATAAATCCTTTGACTAAACACTGGAGCATTATCATTAGCATCCAGAACAGTGACGTGAATCACGGCTGTTCCTGATTTTGGAGGAGAACCGCCATCTACAGCAGTCAGTATTAACTTTAGTTCTTTCACTTTTTCTCTGTCCAATTCCTTTTTCAGCACTAATTCCGGGTAATTTCTTCCACTACTGTCGAGTTCCACATTAACAGCAAAATGCGCGTTGTTTTGTAAATCGTAGCGCTGCACAGCGTTTGTTCCGACATCTGCATCGTGGGCCTCTGTGAGCATAAATTTAGCTCCTTTCAAAGCCGATTCTGTTATTTCAAATGAAATCGACTGGATCCTTTATCAGCTGATTCTGTTATTTCAAATGAAATCGACTCCCCACTAAATTGTGGGGCGTTGTCATTTATGTCTTGGACGTGAATATTGATACGATGAAGCTCAAGAGGGTTTTCCAAAACGAGCTGCTCTTTCAAAACGCATGTCGCCTTCTTCCCACAGAGACCTTCCCTGTCAATCCTCTCAGCAACGATCAAGTCCCCGGTGTTCATATTAATATCACAATACCTTTTATCATTCCTTTGGGAGTCGATACGAGCTTTTCGAGAAGACAGTGTGACAGTCCCGATCCCGAGATCTTTAGCTATATTTCCAATCGCACCTCCGCGTTTCATCTCCTCTGCCACAGAATAGCTGACATCTCCATGAGCACACTGCAGGCCGAGGAACAGAAAAATAACACCACAGCGGCTCAGATGAAATCCCTTGTAAAATGTTTCTCTAGTCATGGAGTCGAATCCCATCTTGCCTGTGGTCCGCTCTGATATAAACGAATAGTTAAATATCCGAAAAGCAACAGCTCAGAACATTCGTGTCGAACTGAACTGACACGCCACACCGTAGAGAAATAAATGCTTTGTAAATGAGGAAGGACAAAGCAAACCGTAACTACGTGTTTGGTTGGTATACAGTGACACCAAGAGTTACATTTAGGTATTGCATTTAAAAGCCTAGAAGATTATTTTCTGTATCTGAAAGGGTATTACTGTATATTAGGTTATGTATGTATTAGATCGAAACTAAAGAACATCAGGCCCTCCACAAAAACCACGTCACATGAACCACAGTCACCATCTAAAGTTGTTATAAGATAAACAAGGCTCTGACTGCCTAATGTAGAAATGACGAACATGCTGAAAAGAAAATACTGTATATTCAAACTGAATAAAATCCAAAAAGGTTTTGCAAATTTACAGGGCAAAGACCGCCTCTTTTATTTCCAAGAAAAAATATCTGGGAGAATTTAAATATTGCTCTCTAAATGCGAAGAAGGCGAAATTTGGCTTAGTCCTTCTTAATTACCTTTACTGAAAAATATATATTTGATTATTTTATTGGAGGAAAAAAAAATACATATTATATTATTGGGAAACATCAAAATATAGTTGTCGACTGCTTATTTATTTTGCACGAACAAACTACTAAAACAATACTGTACAAAATAAAAATAAAATCTAGAATACCACTATATATATGAATTATAATTAGAAATGGGATTATGTTAAGCTATATTCACATCAAAAAATTCATTTGACAAAAAAAAAACGTGCATTTCTTCTGTTCAAAAACGAATCTAACCTTCAAATCTGAAACGATGTAAAAGGGAAACAATTGTGTTCAGCACCATAGACAGAAACAATTGCGAACGTTGCTCAACAAACCGAAATTCACATAAACAGCAAGAGATTAAATAGAAACAAAGCCAGAAAAGTGATTTTTTACAAAATAATGTAGGATTAACAGGATTAAAATTGATAAACGACCTAATTAAATATTTTCCTGAAAACGTATTACTTAAAAAATTTAGGATTAACAGCCAAAAACATTGGAAAATTGATAAACGACCAATTTAAATATTTTCCTGAAAACGTATTACTGCATTGCAAAAGGTAAGACAACAATGATTGCGGAAAGTAAATATATACAGTGTAAATAGCATGATCCCAAAATAGTAATATCAATCATGAACCGCTAAATGTAGAGTATGGTCCTACCTCAAGGGAATTGCTGCAGTCTCCAAACACGTCAGAAAAGTCAGAAGGACTTTTCTTCAGAGTCTCATCGGCAGGCAGTGTGTTGTCATTGTATGACGTCACAAACTTAAAGTCACTGGTTCTAGAACCTGTTGTCAGGTAGGCGTCATAATTGTAGGTGCTGCGTAAAGTTCCTGTGCCGTCAACATCTGAGTAATTAGGAGGAAGATAAGCGCTGGGGATGGCGACTGCTCCATCAAACAACAGTCTGGGTTTGTTTCTGCGACAGAACCTCACACCCAGGACGATGATGATGAAGGTCAAGAAGAAGGTGGACACAGACACCAGTGCAATGATCAGGTAAAAAGTCAGTTTCGAATTAGTTCCGTCATTAGAAATGTCTTTAAGTTCCGTCACTTCAGCCAAGTTATCAGAAATAATCAAATACATGGAGCAGGTGGCAGAGAGAGGGGGCTGTCCGTTATCTTTCACTGCAACAACAAGGTTCTGTTTCATGCTGTCAGATTCAGAAATGTCCCTCTGTGTCCTGATCTCTCCACTGTGGACACCAATAGTGAAAAGTCCTGGATCAGTAGATGAAACTATTTGATAGGACAGCCAGGCGTTCTGTCCAGAGTCTGCGTCCACTGCTATCACTTTGGACACCAGAGAACCTCCGTGTGCAGCTTTAGGAACTAACTCTGTCATGAAGGAGTTTCTATCTGAGGAGGGATACAATATCTGAGGAGAGTTGTCATTCACATCTGATATAAATACACTGACAGTCACGTTGCTGCTCAGTGGAGGAGAACCGTTGTCTCTGGCCATGACGTTGACTTTAAAGTTCTTAAACTGTTCATAGTCAAATGACCTCACAGCGTGGATCACACCTGTGTCTCCGTTAACTGACAGGTAGGAGGAGACTGAGGCACCGTTCACTTCACCAGGTAACAGAGAATAAATCACTGTACCGTTCTGTCTCCAGTCAGGGTCTCGAGCAGTAACTGAACATAAAGTGGAGCCAGGTTTGTTATTTTCAGTCACATATGCGCTGTAGGACTGTTCCTCAAACACAGGTGGGTTGTCGTTGATGTCAGCTACAGATAAGTGAACAGTTTTAGAGGAGGACAGAGGAGGAGAGCCCTCGTCAGTAGCACTGACTGTAATGTTGTAATCAGACACTAGTTCACGGTCCAGTTGTCCTGTGGTCACCAGAGAATAATAGTTTTTAATGGAAGGAACTAGTTTAAATGGAGCATTTTGTTGGACTGAGCAGCGGATCTGTCCGTTTGTGTCAGAGTCTCTGTCCTGAACATTAATGATGCCCACCTCTGTACCAGGTGAGATGTCTTCTGGTACTGGGTTTGTCAGTGATTTAATGAAGATAGTAGGGGCGTTATCGTTCACGTCTACAATATCAACTATTAACGTACAAGATGAAACTAACCCGAGTCCATCTTTAGCTGTGATTTGCATTTCAAACACAGTTGTTTCCTCGTAGTCTATCGGTCCACTAATTTTCACTTCACCTGTTTTCGGATCAACAGAAAACACGTTACTAGTCTCATCAGTAATGTGATCGAATTCATACATTACGTCTCCATTCACTCCCTCATCTGCATCAGTCGCACTTACAGTGACCACTACAGTGTCTACCGGAGAGTTTTCGGCCACACTGGATTTATAAACGGCCTGGCTGAACACTGGGGCGTTATCGTTTGCATCCAGCACAGTGACGTGTATGACGGTCGTGCCTGTTCTCTGGGGTGAACCCCCGTCAGTTGCTGTAAGCAGAATCGTTAACTCTTGCTGGTGTTCTCTGTCCAGTTCCTTCTCTAAAACTAATTCACCGTATTTCCCTCCACCACTTTTCGCAACTACATTCAAATTGAAATTTTCATTTGCATCAATATTATAATCCTGGACAGTATTCTGACCAACGTCTGCATCGTAGGCCTCATCTAATCGATAGCGACTCCCCTTGGAGGCTGATTCGCGAATTTCAAATTTGATCATATTCTTCTTAAACTGCGGTGAATTATCATTGATATCTTGGACAAGGACGTTGATGCGGTGTAGTTCTAAAGGATGTTCTAGTACGAGCTCCTGCTTTAAAAGGCAGGAAGCCTTTTTGCCACAAAGCACCTCTCTGTCAATTCTATCAGCAACGACGATATCTCCATTGTTAGGATTAATCTCACAATACCGCTTTACGTTTCCGTCTGCATCGATGCGAGGCTTCCTCGCAGACAGTCTGCTCACGTCCAGTCCAATGTCTTTTACTATATTTCCAAACACTGAGCCGCGTTTCATCTCTTCTGGGACAGAATAAGACAAATCTCCAGCGATTGTCTGCTGCGAAAAAATAAAGACTCCCAGTAAGAACACCACACCGCGAGCTGGAAAGGCCTTGTATCCCATTGTCCGCACGTTATTAATGTGGATAATCAAAGAAGAAAAAAGGCCTGGAATGTGAAAATCTTCTCGATAACCGCAGTTTTCTTCTAATGACGTAGAGTCTACATCAACATCACAAATGCTGCGACTACCCTTCTGCCCTGCTATTAAGGTTTGGGGATTTTTAAATGTGTAGGATGACACGATGTGCTACCATTTAAAAAAAACAAGTAGACAGCGACACTGTGTGCAAAATATTGGTATTACAGAATATAAAAATGTTTATTTTCCCTTATTAATCAAATAACAGCCCTTAAGGTCACAGGGAAACTAAAAAACGACAACCTATGAATATATATCGACATTGATTTATAAATGGACCACATTTGGGGTATAAATAAAAAGACGTTTTAAGTCTCATGTAAAAATCCAAACTCAC